TTGTAAATCCTTTTCTCTATGCCTGTTTAGGGTGTGACGAGTCTGGAGTCCTGCCTTGCTGGAGGGTGTGACTCAAGTCGCCACCCTTAGCTTCCATGAGGGTATATATAGGAATGTTCTGGGAAAGTTCACTCTCTTGCTCTGGTTCTGCATTGGGTTCGTCATCATCTCACCTCTGGACTGACACAGCAGCTGTCATCTGACCTGCCAGTTTGGGTTTGTCAACTCCTGCAACCACGTGAGACCTACCCACAGAGCTGGGACTTACCAGACTACCAGCCACCCAGCCTCCACCACCACCACGTGAGCCATTTCCTTGGGAGTTTGTAAGCTCTGTGAGATGTGACAGCCAACTACAGAACCCTAAGACGGGAGGGACATTATTGAGGGGAGGAGGAGGAGTCGATGTCAGAGATGATGGAGTGGCATGGCAGTTTGGAAAAGTTGGACGTTTGGGACATCTTTAAGCTCTGCCTCATAGGGACCACCCTTGTACTGATCTAAAATAAATTATTCAAGCAGAACCCAAGCATAAGTATTTGGTAAAGTGCTTGAGGAAATACCAATGTGCAACCTTGGCTGAGAGCCACTGCTTTATAATAATGCAGCCAGTAGTAACTAGTACTTTTTGAATGGCTACTTTGTACTGATTTATATAAGCCTCATTGTAACTCTATGAGGCCAGTATTATAGTGGAGCTTAGAAAGACAGAGTAACAGACAAATTTCATATTGTGGCACCCACACTGGGCACTTAACCACCACATACTATGTTGCTTCTTGTGGATGCCAGGATCCCAGCAATCTCTCCAATGAGGTAATACATCCTTTTTTGTAAAGAGGAACAGGGAAGGGTTGGGAAAACTTAAGTTCATTCCAACATTCCCTCTGTTAGGAAAAGGACTTAACTCCCTTCCATGGAAATTGAAAAAGAGAGTTTCCACTAACCCTTTTCTAGAAATTTGGAAAACATGTAGCAAGGAGTAGGAAATTGACAATCAGTGATTGTCAATTGTTAGGACTGTCATGCAGCTGAGACCAGATAGCATAATTTTTTATAGAATCAGTTTCATAATTTTAAGCACCATCCTTAGTATCTTAAGAAAACATGAGGCCACAGTCTATCAAGATAGCTAAGGTCTGTGAAGGAAGTTGTCCTGGGACATTACAGGAAGGAGCAAGAGAATCAAAGTTGCTTGTGAACATACTGATGATGATGACGATCCACGCTGAGTGGAGAAACAACAAAAGGCTACAAGTCTGGGAGGGGCTGAAAGGCTGCAGGACAGAGGAGGCATAGCTCACATCCTGAGACACTAAGAAATGAGTCAGTACATTAAAGGTGAGACATTACCTAGGAACTCAGATACCTGAAAACATAATTACCTTTCTCTCCTTCACATATAAAACCTCTACAGATGTGGAAAGTAATAGAAACTGGATCTTGCTTTATACAAATTTGTTTAAAGTATGTCAATGTTTGTATATCGAATGATATACTATTTTGGTAATACCTATTTAAAGAGCTCTGGTAGCACAGTGCCTAAGGCACTTGACTGCTAACCAGAAGGCTGGCAGTTCAAACCCACCAGCCACTCCTCGGAAGGAAGGTTGGGCAATCTTACTTCCGTAGTGATACTGCCTCGGAAACCCAAGGAGGGGTTGCTATGAGTCGGGGCCGACTCGATGGCATATAACAACAACAACAACATTTAAGCAATAAAGAGGATTTTTATAGTAAATTCTTCTATACAGCAAATTATCCAATTTCTTCTTTATGCAATTCAGGGTTTTCACAAACGGAATTTATAGGATATGGCATCATCAATAATTTGACCCTAGGTAAAAATATGTATCATTACAATAGTGTGTTAAGAATATCTGATAAGCAATAGAAAATTAAGTCCTATACACAGATGTGTTACCTTCTTTTATTCCATGCTCTAAAGTATGAATCATTATTTTTGCATCAGAAAAAGGCTGCGAGAAGGACTATTTGTGCCAGGACAGAGCTGCTGCATCAATCCTGAGAAGTGACATTTGCACTCCAGAGCTGCACCCATTAGCCACTCCTCTAGCAGCCAGGAAACTTTGGGAGGAGTTGCAACAAGCAAAATCAGGTAAATTCAACAGGCTGCTTTCATTTTTGGTGAACGTTTACATGAGGATTAAAAGTTTAAAGGCCCTCACACTATACATGTTATTATCAACTGAACACGACCTGACCTGTATCATAAGGCTGAACCAGGTTAATCTGCAACTTGGTAATATTTCTGGAATGGAAAAACAATCTAAATTTAAATTTAAATGCTGTTATGGTCAACGCATTCTTCTCTCATCAGTTCATCTAAGAGTCATCTCTATCCTCCCTCGCACACATACCAACACTTAAAGTAGGTAAAACTTTTGATGCCACATTAGATTTTAAACTCTTGATATCCTATTGCATTATGATATAAATTGTAGGCTGTTAGTATGTACTGAACAACTAAAGTCTTCTAGAATTATTCTGCCTTTTTTGTTATCAACATTTTGGTGTTTTAATAGCTATTTCTAAGAAATTTTGAAAAAAGTATTTTGCTTAAAAGGATAATAGGAATCCTGGGTGGTGCAAATGGTTAATGCCCCTGGCTGCTAACTGCATTAGTGGGAGGTTCAAGTACACCCAAAAGAAGGGCTTGGCAATTTATTTACTAGGATTAGGAACCAGAACATCAAAATCTCAAAACACGTTTCTTTAAGTTGTCACAAATCTCATATTGTAAAGAATCTGAAAATCTCTATAATTACAGGACTGCTTTCAAAGATCAAATGAAAAGAGATTAAGATTTACTGTGCTACTGATTTCATGCATTAGCTTGATCAAAATGGTGAAATATCACCAATTTCACATGATTCTATCTAATCAGAATCGTAAGACAGTTGAAAACAGATTTTCAAATCAAATATAAAAATACACCCCTACATATTCCAAAGAAAAAAGTCTCTGCAGGAGAGGGTGACCTCTGTTACTCTGCTACGTGATTAAAATATCAAGTATAGTACATATTCAGCACCAGGCTTATGGTGCCATCTTTCCATATTTAAGATGCTCTTGGTGATGCTGTAACTGAAAAGTCTAATTCTGAGTTTTCACAGTGCATAGGAAAGACTGATGCTAGAATGACAGTCACAAATAACTGTGGGGCAACAGGCTGTTAAAAAAGTCAAAACAAAATACTCTTTGTCACAAAACTATCATGTTGACTAACAGTTTTAATATCCCATGTGTTTTGTGTTTGTTCACTTTGCTTTTCTTCTGTCCACCTAACAACCGAATGTGCTAAAGGGCAATGAAATGTCTAGAGTTGGAAGAGGTAGAAAACAGAAACCAGACATTTCAGAGGCAATAAAACTGCTACAGAGCACTGCTGTCCTTGCTTTAAGCAGGTTGGAAGCTGAGTTGATTATTTAAAAATATAGAACACAAACATCCATCTCTATTAAACGACTTGATGGCAAACTAATCTAAGTATATGCAGAGATCACAAAACTAGCTTGAAAACATGTTTCAAAATTTTAAGACATAAGAGTCTACTATTTTCCAATAAGAAAAAAAGTTCCCACTTTTTCTGGATGATAAAACAGAGACCCAAACACCAGACATAAAGATATGTCCGTAGAAAGAACAATGCAATTTCCACAGAGAATGAGATGTGGAAATTCTGAATCCAGTACTTCTTTATCGCAAGGTGTTGAGATTTAAACAGAGACACTCAACACAACGGTTTCAGTATCTTCTCAGATTTTATTTTTTAAAAAAAGACAGATTTAGGATATGGTTAAGAAATTACTAAGTTACATTTTTGAAAATCTGCCAAGTGCTATAGTAATGGAATAAATAAATAAGATTTTTATTTTCCATGTTTATAGACATATTTATATAAAAAAAAATGTCTGAATTGGAACACATGTAATGTTGATACACCAGGAAGGGATTTAGACAAGGAAAGGCACATCATTTCACCACAAGAAATAAAGACCACAACTGGAGGTTAACAACCAGCCAAAGCTTTAGATCTTGTGGTTGTTATCCTAGCTCTGGAAGGTCATTACAGTGGAACCTTCTGTATGGTAGTTAACTAGAATAGATAACAGTTGGAGGATCTAATTTTGAGACCCAATATAATGTTAAAAAGAAAACACTCTTTTAATATGCCTATGTGTGAAAAGGAAAGGAGCAAACATCTAAAATGGCTTGGTGGTACTGAAGATCCTACTGACATATTTAGGACCATTACAATACAATAAAAGATTAACCCTCTATTTCTGAATGAATTAGAATTATTTTCATTACAAAGTTAAAACTTTAAATAAACACTATATTCCTCACTTTCTTTCTTATAGACAGACACAGTGTAGATATAAACAGCTGCCATATTTCACCTCAGATGAAACTATAAGCCAATGTTTAGGGAACAACATCTTAGATAATTTCCCTACTTTACACAGCTTACGTGTTTGAAAACAGCATTAATACCTCTGGCTGACTGGCTATCTATAAGACTGAACATGAAGTTATGACAAAGATAAGACGTTTTCCAAAGAAACCAGAGTTTCTAGTTGAAAAGATATACATTATTTTTACTGAAAAGTCTAGCAGACATAAGTACAACTTGCTTTGGGTTTCTCACTACCAATTTTCTTTGACAAATGTGTGCCAAGTCTGATCACTGTTTTCTCTCTGGACTCTGAACCTAGTTGGCACGTTTGAAAGGTAGAATCCTTCAGAGTCAATGATACAAATTTTAGTGGTATTAAAAAAGCAACTATATGTATGTGTTCAAATGTGTGTGCCTGTGTGTGTATATTTATGTGTATTTCTATATAAATAAAATGGATTTTCAGGATGAAAATCATATATCCAGAAAAAAATAAAATTAAAAACAATTGAGAGGGAACAAAGGGAAATATTATCAAAAGATAATAAAAATGGCAAGTGTAGAGTAGGCAGCCTCCTGCTCATGCCACACGATACGCCTTCATTAAGGTATACTCTTTGCGGTTGGTATGAGCAGCCCAAATGAAGAGAGCAGAAGCCATGAACTGCAATGGAGCTGAGACGCAAGCCAGGCAGAAGGACCATCCAAATTCTCCTAACACATTCGTAGGCAGCTGTAGTTTCTGGTGGAGTAGTTTTATTCCAGCAACATAACAACTTACTGAGCCTAGTGTACACAGACCTTTAGAAAACAAAACAAAACATGACTAGGTAAGAAAATATAAGAGCTTTTCAGGCAATGCAACAAGGCAGAAATATGTGGATATTTAAAAATTATAACCCCTGCTCCCTAAGGAATCAGGAGGAAGCAAAAATATTAAGGTTGGATGATAAGACCCACCTGCAAGGAGATGGAGAATTCCCGTAGCAATGGTGGGATATAAGCTTCGGCAGATACAAGCACAAAGTCCGATCAAAGCCCCAAAGCACATCAAACCTAGGCTAACAAAAGGTAAAAGGAACTGGCAACGCCAAAGATCTGATTTAAAATAAAAAAAGATAGAGAAAAAGAAATGTTACCATTATTTCAGATTGTTTTTCCAAAATAGCAATTCCCTTCAAATTCTATTTAGATCTGTTCTCAAAAGTTGAGAAAGGAGTATTTTAATGTTGATGCTTTTTTTCTAAAGCACATTGTTCAAAAGGATACTTTGTACATTAAAGTAAAAAGTACTAATAGCTAATAATTACTGAAGGCTTAATATGTGCCAGACACTGTACACATTTTGCGTACATACTAATTTTTTCCCAATAAACCTACAAAGTAGGAACTAATGTTACCTCCGTTTTATAAATGCAGAAACTGAGGCAAGAGAGGTAAATAAATAACTTGTACATGATAAAAGCTGGTATTAGAAGCAAGAGTCTGACTCTATACACAGCAACAGCTAAATCTTACACAATATCAAGGTTGGAATAACAAGTAAATGAAAGGTGATTATAAATTACTGCCTTGAAGGGCTGTGGAAAGATTAATATACATAAAGCTCAAAGTATATGATCTGATATCTATCAAGCACCCAATAAACAGCAGTTTCAATTATCATAAATTACAACACAGAAACAAACCTGACTGCCTTATACAGCATACCATTCCATTTCAGTTAATTAACCGCAATGTATTAATACCAATCCTAAATCAAATTCTACATTTTGTTGCTGGTTTTACTTTGTGGAACTACATGAAAGTCTTGTTTCTAATTAAGTTCCCTTCAAATGCTGTTAGCAATAAACTTCTTCCTGTGCATTCTCACTGTAAAACTAAATTCCTGCCATTTATTCATTGTTTCGTCTCATGACAAGGTCATTCTTCCAAACAAGTTCCACTGAGTTTCTATAGCTCTGAAAATGGGGCTCTTCCTGGACAGCCTGACCATCAGGAATAGAATGCTCCTAATAAACATTTTCATTTGTTTTTGACATCTGATTGGGTAACTACCATTGAAGACTAGATTAACTCATCTGACAGGCCTAATGCTCAGCTGATTCTCACAGATTTTGCAGTCAAGTTTTCACACATTCCTATCTGAACTTAGGTAGTGATGTGTTTAATTCAAGCACAGTAATCTATTAAATTACTACTGAATTCTCCCTTAATAAAATAGGTCCATCAAACTGAATTGTCATTCAACAGAATAGCTGCTTCCTTCAATGTCATAATTTGCAATTTGATAAGAATGTATCTAACTCCAATCCACTGCCATCAAGTCAATTCCAACTCATAGCAATCCAACAGGACAGAGTAGAACTGCCCCGTAGGGTTTCCTAAAAATCTTTCTGCTATGAATCTTTATGGAAGCAAATTGCCTCATCTTTCTCCCACAGAGCAGGTGGTGGGTTCAAACTGATGACCTCTTGGTTAGCAGCCCAATGCTAACCAGGGCTCCTTAAGTATTTATCTATAATTCTAAAATGTTATCAAGACAGAGTGCATTAGGATTTTAGAGATCTTATTTCAAGTTGCCATTATCTATCAACTCATTTTGTTCAACACAAACCAAAACCAACCAAACTCACTGCCATCAAAGTCGGATCCAATTCATAGCGTCCCCTCCTTTGGTTTCCAAGGTGTCACTATGGAAGTAGATTGCCCACCAACCTTCCTTCCAAGGAGTGGCTGGTGGGTTTGAACTGCCAGCTTTCTGGTTAGCAGTCAAATGCCTTAGGCACTACACTACCAGAGCTCCACACAAGGCAAATAAAATTGTTTCCTTCCCCTCACCCCCAATTTTCCTTCTGAGATTAAAGTACTCACAGGTCCGAAGTAGATCAATTCCACTATTGTGGTTTCCAGGATCAACAAATTTCTCCATGAACTGCTCATTTAGTGTGAAACTGAAGCATTGTGTGACCACATCAAATGATTCTGCAACAAGAACAATGATCGCTTGTTGTTTTAATTATAAACATTTAACAATAGCCTCTTTTAGTAGTTTATTCTGAAGTAAAAAGTGATTTTAAGAAAGATGCTCCTAAAAGAGTAAAATTACCTCTTTGGCTTGGAATGGCATACAGGACTCATCAATGCTCAATGAAAGCCACCAGTTCTCAGTGCAAATTTAAGACATATAGGAATAGCAAAGAAGAAAATTTAGTAGTAGTGAAAGGATTAAGAAAACAGACATGTAAGGAAGACTGGAAAGGAGGAAGGGACAAAGACTAAAATAAACAAATTTTAATCTCCCCCAAACTACTTCCCAGCAATCTTCCTCATATTAGATAACGGCAATTCCATACTTCCAGTTCCTCACTCCACAAACTTTACAGTTATCCTTGCTCACAAGCACTTAATCAGGAAATCCTGGAGGCTCTACTTGCAACACATATCTGGAATCCAATCACTTCTCAATGCTACCACCCTTATATGAGTCACAGTCATCTCTCTTCTATATTATAGGCAGTCCCCAGGTTATGTATGAGACTGTTCCTAACTACTTTCATGTAGTTCCAGAAAGTAAAACCAGCAACAAAAGGTAGAATTTGATTTAGGATCAATATTAATACATTGTGGCATAATGCCTAAGGCATTTGACTGCTAACAAGAAAGCTGGTGGTTCAAACCCACCAGCCACTCCTCAGAAGGAAGATTGGGCAATCTATTTCTGTAGAGATACCACCTTGGAAACCCACAGTGGGGTCGCTGAGTAGAAGCGACTCGATGGCAGTGAGTTTAGTTTTTTTTTTTTAATTTTTTTTTGGTTTATTAATTAACTGAAATGGAATGGTATGCTTTATAAGGTCATCAGGTTTCTTTCTGTGTTGCTGAATTTATGATAATTGATTTACGATTAATTGAAACCGCTATTTATTGAGTGCTTGATAGAGGTCAGATAATATACTTTGAGCTGTACGTATATTAATCTTTCCACAGTTCTGCAAGACAGAAATTTATAATCTTGTGTCTTCAAGTAGATAGAATTCATGGGTAAGCTGGAATAGGTGCATACAGTTCTTATTTAGCCTTACTTTAGTGCAAGAAGAGACAGCTCTGGTGGCACAATGGTTAAAGCACTTGGCTTTTAACCAAAAGGTTACTGGTTCAAATCCATCAGCTGCTCCATAGAAGAAAGATAAGACACTGCTTTATACAGAGACTCTAAAAACCTTCAGAGTCTCTATGACTTGGAATTGACTCGATGGCCATAGGTTTTAGTTGGGCAACATTAAGGCTCAAAGCTTTTTATATAATTTAAAAGCTGCATGTGCACCAAGTGAAGGTGACTGTGATGAATAATTTGTTGAGAGTAGGGGTTGGTTCAGTCATTTCAAAGTAAGGGCAAATTTACATAACATTAAAGGGCAAGTATGAGTCAGATGTTCCTTCTTAACACAGGACTGCCTCCTAACTAGTCTCTACTGGCTTCCACCCTTGCTCACTGCCTATCTATTCTCAACATATCAGTCAAGGTTATCAGATCATATCTCTCCTCTGCTCAAAACCCCTCAATGGTTCTCCATCACATTCAGAGTAAAAACCAAAATCCTCACCACAGCATTGCAGAATCTGCCTCACCTCGCCCCTCAAGTATGTCTCTTTACAGCATTCTCATTCTCCCACCATTCCAATCCAGTAGCTTCCTTGCTGATCCGTTAACATTTCAGGAACGCTCCTACCATAGAGCCCTTGCAACAGCTGTTTCCTCCACCTAAGTGACTTCCCCCCAGCTACCCATATAGCCAACTCCTTCACTTACACCAAGTCTTCACTCAAACGTTATCTTCTCAATGAAGCCTATCATGACTCTTCTAACTAAAATCATAACCTAAACCAGCCAATATTCTCTTCCTCATGATTTCCCTTTATCTGGCTCTATTTTTCCACAGCAAAGGTATCTTCTAATATACTGTATAATTTACTTATTTATTCTATTTATCACCTGTCATCTCTTCCTAGAATGCTGAATCCTCAAGAACAAAGATTTTGTTTGTCTTCTTCCCTGATGAACTCCTAGAACCTAGACTATGGAGGCATTGCTGAATGAATGATTAGACGATGGGTAAGATTCTAATATCAAGTGTCCCTGTGCTCTCATAACTAGAACTGAACATGTCACAATAAATTTTAACCACTTTTAACCCCTTTCTTCTTGAACTAATTGCTTATTCCACGTATAATTACAACTATCATCCTACTGATGTATAGTAACTCAAGCTGTTCCACTAGATTTGAATACATTGCTTCTTCACTATTAAGCCAACAAAAATAATCATAAATAAAAACAAATTGTAAAGTTGCTCCTTACAAAGATCTTTAAATCTTCCATTTTAGTAACTGGAAATTAAAATTTTTAAATGCTGATGAGAATGCTTGCAAATTAAGCCTGAGAAATAACTTCCTGGATATTTTTCCTTCCACAGTGCCTATTTTTTCTTAATTGACACATTCTATATCAAGATAGCTGTAAACAGTCTCAAACATACAGAGATTTAAAAATAGAGTTGGTCAATTTCTACCTTTAGGGGGCAAATAAAAGATATCTATTATAAGACAGAGGGAGCTCTGGTAGCATAGCTCCTAAGGCACTTGACTGCTAATCAGAAGGCTGGAAGTTCAAACCC